GCTACGCTGATGCGAACCACCTTGCGACACCATAGGCAACCGTAAGAGAGTCCAGGTCTGTCGAGTGGCTACATAGACAGGTTTAGTATCAGCTCTGAGGTTACAAATGTGAAGTTGGTTCATGATAATCAACGTTTTTATTTTGTTTTACGTACATCATTTTCACCGTGAGTTGGTTTTCCAAAGAATTTATATGGGCAATCATATTCAGTCTCAGCCGGTTGGTTCCGTTTTCGCTTTTGAATGCGCAGATTCTCGTCATTGGAATCTTGGGCCAAATCGACTTCGGGAGGGCCTGTCTCCTAAAGATGGTGTGATGACAAACAACACCAATCAGTTATGTATGTCATACTTACAATTTATGTAACACCAATTTAACTTACAATGGGGGTTGCTACTCTGGTTGGGGCCCTGGAACTAACCGCGGTCAAAACGATAGATGAACCTTCAGAGTTTTCTAACTCAGAGCCGGTGGCAGAGTGCGAATGCGATCGGCTGGAGTTCTGTGTCACCTATGTAATCATTGTATAACGAAAAGATAAGAAAAATATATTTAAGAGAAACACAATGAAAAGAACGATGAAAGTAAGAAACACTTACAGATGGACGTGATACAGTATTGGATCGGCCACGCGTTGGTGCACAAATGACTTCATCGCCAGGTAAGGAAGCCGAACATTCTCGCCTTTGGTGGACATGCCCGTCCCGTACGTCCCTTACGCCAAAGTTGAAGTCAACAAGTCCACGTCGTGAGTCAGAAGAAGGGGTGATCATCCCCGGGACTCGTCTGGCAGGAGTGATTATGCGAGATGAACGACGAGGGGGAGCAGGTTTGTCAGTTTCATATCCCGAAGCCAAAAAGCTGTTGATCGTAGGTTGCTTGTTCACATGCTGAAATATTTATCAGTAATGTTTTTAGGAATATAAGATGGAAGGAGTAAAGCGGAAAATGGAGAATTCAAAATCAAAGTCAAAGAAAGATAAACGAAGTCGAGGAAAAGTTGATGTGGTGATGATTGATTTGGTACGTTTGGATTGGAAACGGTCTGAATTGGCGTATTGGAGTAGGATGTTAGTGGTACTGGTCAACTGAAATATCAACGAGTTGAAAAGTTGGAAGATGGATGGGAGAACACACCTGATATATAGGGTTTCTCTCGATGAGAAACCCTCTCGCTCCTGCCCACGGACTGTGCAATCGGTAATGTTTGATTGGTTGGGCCACTGTGAGATCTGTGCGTGTTGATATCGATCTGTTTGGCGGCATTTGTTGATGATGTGGTGGGTAGGGTTTTGATATTGAGGAAGGGTGTTCGGTGGGTGGTGTGGTGTATGGAATCATGGCGTCAAGCCAAGGATAGCGGTGTGAATACCGGGCCCAGACCCGGTAGTTGAAAGCGTAGTTCCCCAAAATTCGGGGCTTAATTGCTAGCGGGAGGCGTAGTGCCTGGGTTCCCTTCAAACCAGTTATCGAAGCGGCTGCGCCATGCGCAGCGCTACGCCGCGCATCACGCTTTCTTCGGCGCGGCGAGCCAGATTTGTTGACATCAATCAGTTTCTTGTGATTTGTTATCTCGTCTCTATTCAATCTTCATCCTTTTCAAAATCAATCCAAGCATAACGGTCTTTCTTTAGAAGTACGTCATTTACTTTTCTTGGTATTTAATATCTAAGCACTGATTCACACTTATATCTTCTTGATTCACTACACCACGGGGCGGCCGGCATGTGAAGATGAGGTGAAATTGGCCTCTGCCAATAAATCATACACTCTTCACACTATGCCACATTTACCGGCGCCACATGAAAGCCAGTGTGAACATCACCTGACATGGCCATGTGATCACAAGGTGATGGCTCACCTAGTCATTAGGTGAGAAGGCTCACCTGGTCATGGTGCAAGTCTTCTCCAATGAACTGGTGGGACATTGTGGTGCTCAAAAGCTCCAAATGATCTTACTCATATGTTTTCAACTCGATCTCATTCTTTTGAGACTTTGTTCAATTTAAATTTTATATTATTTTCTTATTCTCATTCTCAACAACGTGATTATTTTTTCAAGTCATTCATATCAAAGAAAGATAAAGTAATAACATGAAAGGAAAATTTTGAATAAATAGAAAAAAAGCTTGAAATGATCAATCACGAGACAAAGCGATGAATCAAACAAAACAACTATGCAGAGTAGTAAGGATGAGAAGAATGAAAAAAACAAAAGAAAAACAAAAGAAAGATAATAAAAGAAGAAAAGAATGAATGATTGGTATGGGAAAAGGAGAAACAAGCAGAAAAGAAAGAACAGAAGAAAATAAGACGTACCTTGAATCAAAAATTTAATGATCGATCGAGTGTGAATGGGAACAGTGAGTGAGAAGTAGTTGAAAGGAGTCAAAATAGAAATGAAGCACATTGAGGATAGACTATATAGAGAAAGTAGAAGAGAAAAAATTGAACCAAGAGTTAGTAGATGTATATGTAGATGAAAGAGGAAAAGAAGAAAGAAGAAGAAGAAAGGAAAATAAAATAAAATAATAAACTCACATTGATAAAATCACGGAATTGAGTCAAAGAAGACAAAATAGGAACGAGGGAGCGATTGAAATGAGGAGAGATTGAGAGTGAACCTAGAGGAAAGGAAGTAGAAAAGGAAAAGAAAAGGAAGAATGGTTAGTAGATGAAGAGAAGATAAGAAACAAAAAGAAAAGAAAACAGAAAGATAGATGTACCAAAGGTTTGAGAAAGAAGAGATTGAGTCGAGATGGGAAGACAAAGAGTGGATGGGAATGCGAAAAGGGTGGTAGTGGTTGAAGAGTTGGGTACACCACGGGTAGGCCCAGGCGGCCAGTAGGCCGCCAAATTATGCGGCCTGCAGACCGCCCACGCTTGCAGGCGGATGGGCGGTCTGCAGGTAGCCCCCACGCGGACGGCCCCCAGGTCGATATGCCAAGCAGTCCTCAGGCCGCCACGCCTGGGGCGAGATTCAACGGCAGGCCGTCTAACCGCCGCCTGACTGGTATATGGGCGCGCAAGCGATGACCCGCAGCGGTACTCCCCGAGTAGAGAACATTCACGGTCCATTGCAATGACCGCAAGACCCGAGTCGCGGGCCAGTAGCTGAGGGCCAGGTAACCGGGTCACCAGGACCAGCGCTGGCCAGACCGCGACATTAGTTGGCAAAATACTTGCGGTACTCGACAGGTGGATCAGGAAGAATGGATAATAACATTTCATGGGTGCATTACTTGAGACGAGGGAAGGAACAAATTGACACGATAACATGATGTATTTAGATTTTTTGATTAGTGTGATATGCCGTAGAACAGCGCCACAGGCGCCTTCCGGTTCAGATCAAGTGTTCATGTTCGGAGCCCACATCTTCGCCATCTCCCTCGCCTCCTAGAGGTGGAACCGCTTCCTCAACTCCCTCAGACGTTCCCGCAATAATCGCGTCTTCCGTGGGTAATGTGATCACATAGTTCTCCTTGATCTCACTCCAACTCCTCTTGCCGTTGAATATCTCTATGTCATTCTGATAGATGATATCATAGAAGCTATGGACAAATTGTGAGGCATCAGAGCCACAAATGCATGACCAAGGAGACGTAGGAGACCGTTACATACGAAGTTGTGTAATCTGGTAGATCCTTTTCTTTATCACGGAGAACGTCAAGCTGCTTCTCCACCTCAGACCATATGTTGGTTGCAGAAGGGGTTTGTCGAAGACGGGTGGCTTTGCGACGCTGGGCGACCATATCAGAAACGTCAGTTGACGTGATTGTCACTCAGACTCCCTCGTACTGCACACAACTCACCAGGTATGCAATCCTGCCTCGAGTGACCTCGTCCGCCGCGCGCCAAGATCTTATGGCATCTACATCTCCCCCAATTAGTCCACATTTCAACGCAATCTACATAATGTTGCACATCAGCAGCCACATGGTGTGAGAGCCTCAAATAGGGAGCTTACTTGATGCCACAATGCCATGAGTGTGGGCACGGCCACACCCTTCACCACCCCATGCTTTTGGTTGTGCACGTTGGTTAATAACTGACCATTCAGGAAAGTCAGCATTTCCAGTAATTCCATTGGCAGCTGGACTTACCAATAAGTGTAATTTTTTGCGGGCGTGTTTACCCGAGTCCCTGATAGCAGTCGCGTACTTGCGGAGCCCTTCACCATTGTTAACTCCTCGAATTTGCTTGGGAAGGTGTAAAGCAACCCATTCTGCGTCTTGTTTTGCGACACGGAGCTATTGGTTGCAATGACGTCAGTGGCAACAGTATGTGACAATGTAGGGTGCCACTCAAAAACGGACCCTGACACAATTGAAGAGAGATCTCGGGAGATAGTTCTTAGCTCTGTCCTCAATTTTGGTGTAAGACTGAAGATCAGCTTTGGGTATCAATGCGACAGACAATTCGTTCAGCAAGGCCTGCATTGGGTTCGGAGGTCAGTGCTTGAACTAGTGCAAGGCAGAGGTGCACTTACTTTGAGCTGGCGCGATGCCTTCCACTCGGAAACTGTCGCCGTGCGAGCGGCTTCGGCAGAGGCCGCTGATGCCGAGGTCGACGTTGATGTCGCAGTCGATGTCGCAGTCGAAGTCGATGTCGCCGTGGGTGCTTGTCTGATAACGCCAGAGTGAACCGCCTCACTGCGATCGTCGACGTTGGCTGAGATAACGTTCATTTTGTCAGTGAGATCCTGGTGAAGGTTTCCGAACTGTTCGGCCACCTGTTCCGCGAGGGTGGGAACCTGTTGGGAGATTTGAAAAAGGTAGAATTGGGTCCTTGCAATATTCCCACAAAGCGCCAAATGGCGATAGTCATCGCCATTGACCTGTCAATTGTTTGCAAACACATCAACGAACTGGATCATGTGATCTCCATCATCAACTGACCTCGCCAAGTTCTCGAGCATAGTCACTATGCTTCGCGTCCAGCTCAGCAGAAGACGTCATTCGGTCAATGAAGTTGCGTTCCTCGTCCGTGAGAGCGCGGAAGTTGGCCACAGTTTCGCCGGTTGTGGGTTGGAAGTGACTGAAGGGGTCGTCGCTTTGTTCGGTGGTGTTAAGCAAGGTTGAACGGCCCAGGGGCCGTTCCCTGGGCCGTTCAACCTCGGTAGGCGATTGAGTACGAAGCCGCTTCTGGTTTTCGGGGGCCGGGGTGGCAGTTGCCTTGCGAGGGGGTTTGGCCACACCAGTGGTCAATGCTTTCACCTTGGGACGACGACGCGATTCAAGGCCGGGGACCGACTTGCCGCTGTTACTACGTAAAATGGAGCGGTCCAAACGTTGAGACGTTGGGGCGAGGACATCTCCATGCTCTGGATACAGATGTTAGTGTATCCTGAGCGGTCCAAGTACGCCGAAGGTGATTTCACCCACTTTTGGGTGTGATCAAACTGTCGTGATTGTTGAGGCTGTGCAGTGAGACGGCACTCGAACCGGCTCGCGAACTGACCGAGCCCTGGCTCGAGGGGGGGGGTTGAGGAGGTCACCTAGAATGCACGCGCGTTAACAATGAATGTCGTTGAAGATGAGAGTGGCCTCACCGAAAGCGTGATGTGCCATATTTTGCCAAGTACGGGCTGTTGAAGGGATGCACATTGCATGAGTGACCCCAACGAGACGACGTTTGGGAAAAGGTTGGAAATGGTCTGACCTATTCCACTCTCAGACAAGATTAGGGCCATGTCAATTTCGTCTTCATAGGGTCTTTGGACCTTGCCTTTGCTTCCTTATCGGCACCTGGAATAACAACAGCAACAGAAGCTCGACACTTACCTCAACGTGAAGCTGAAATGTCTCAAAGCCCACCCGCCGCCCAAAGGTCAGTAATTGAGTGGCCTATCATGATTTGAAAGATGCAACAACCACGTATTTTATTGACTTCCCTTCCGTTGTACGGGTGTCTCACCACATTTGTTTGGATGTTATCAGCACCGCGCCAAGTGAAGGTTTGCAAGATGAAGGGGCCATGGAGCAATCAAACACCTCAATCGCTGTGTCCGCTAACGAGTTCATCGTCATTCCCGAATCCCAGGAGAGTCCAATCAATCTGCTTTCCCCTACCGTATTCCAACCAGTTCACGCGGAAGAGCATACGGGCGCAAACCAGCGTGACCATGACACTGAGGAAGGTATGCCAATGTTTATCATTCAAACCTTGTGGCCATAAGTGACTGTCGCTGAAGCGATATCTACGTTGGTCCTTTTATTCGCCGAATCAGAGCCTGACCGGTTTCGCCGTCGCAACCTGTCATACGCGGCCGTGCGACGTTTCATTGGGTTAAAGCCCCTTCGAGATTACATGGTTTTTGCTGGATTGGCACCTTCGGAGACGAGCAAAGCCCTTCGAATCCTCTCTGGCCACGCGATTCATAGTTTCCACGTGTTCCTCTTCCCCGAGCTCATCTCACCAAAACAAATGTATCAATGGGGTATCTCATACGGGGTGGGCGCGGAACTGATCTTACACGCGGAAGGTTACTACCATAAGCTCTTGCGCAGAGAAAGGCGAAACCAATCTGCTGAATTATAAATGTCATGTTGACATTCAAGGTGACCTTTGGACATGGCACATTTGCAATGATATACACTTTCTTCATTTGACGTTCTTTCGTGAAGCTAGGCTCAGCCTTTCTCACTGCGGACCAAGCCCTATGAGCGACGTAAAAATGCAAGAGAGGCCCTATATTGGTCTCATTGCCCGCACCATTCCCGCTCAGGCAGGAAAGAGTCTGAAGTGTTCATGGGAGGCCATGAACACGTCAGACTCTCATTCCTCAGTCATGTACAGTGATTGGTTACATCCACGAGAGTACATGAGCAAACAAGTGGTTGTGAATTAATTCGTAAGACAGTCACGTTTAAAAATACAAGTCTGCCGCGGGGGTCACGGTGGGCCAAGCCCATTCTGGAGTTGGAAAAGAATAAAGCCTGAGCCATCGTTCATGGAGAGTTAAAAAGGACAACCCGCTTGTGCTCAAAATGAAGACAAATAGAGGACAAGCCATGATATCACCCCAAAAATAAATTGTTCAAAGCCCTGGGAGGCCAGATGTTGGAATACATGGGTAAGTCTTTCAGGGCAGGCAAAGATGTGATACGATCTTTGGGATCCTTCCTCAAAAGAAGCAAAATTGTTTCGCGCATGGTTTCCGACATAGTACAAGGGAATATGACGGCCGTGTGGGCAACGTGGCTTTCTAATTAGGTGGGTTTCAAGGACAAGGGCATTAGCAAAGGATTATTTGGGTATTGTGCTTTTCATAACTTTACAAAGGACAAACTTACAATCTTGGAAAGGCTGGCGATATGTACACAAGTAATACATCATGAAGCCGAGATTCCACCAGTCCACAGATGTACTGTATTTACCACCTGCTAGCATTTCCGGAGCTCAAGCATTGGAATAGCCGTGTTCCCCAGAGGTGAATCCATCCGGGTCAAGAAGGTCCCACGAATCCAGGCATACCAGCTTGATGTGATGACCGGGATAGCACTTGACGCTAGAGCTATCCATTGCACGCAGGACCGCACCGTTGGTATGGAAGTGGTTCAAAACTTCCGCGAGTTGGATGACATAATGTGACACCTCGGCTTCTGAGAGATTCCTTTCCCCGACGAGGTGTTCGAGAGCCGGGGCATCCTGATCGTAGGCGAACACGAGGTTGATTTGCCAGTCATCTAGGAAATGGCCAAGATAACTGGGTATGCCAGGGTGTTCAAACTCTGAGAAAAAGGCGATTTGGTGACCCTTCGAAGGGGCAAAGGTAGGGCGCAGTTCATTGTCATATGGCGGTTCGTAGCCCTTGATAGCCACCACTAGGCCATCGGCGGATCTTCTCGCTGTTTGTGTTCTCTGTTGATAACCCCACTTGATGTTCAGTTCTCTTTTGAAGTCTGAAGGTAACAAGGTGTCCGGTGGAAACATAGCACGCATTGACGCCCAGGTGACCCAGTTGTCCGCCTCTTCGGGCATTACAAAGGAATCATCGGTTTCCGAAGGAGTTGTGGAATCCGTTGAGACTTTCTTTGCGCCTGGCTCGCTAAGTTTGTCATCGTCGGAGGGTGAAGAGGCTCGCTTCATCAATTTGTATGTGTGCTTGGCCGCGGATGAATGGCAACGGGGATTTGTTTCGATCTGAGTATTTCTGTGTGGAATTTCCGAGCAGACGTCAATTCCTCTGGGGACACCTTTTGCAACTGTGTTTTTGGCCGTTCCTGCACATGTATTTAGAGTTTGTACACCATGATATATCGCCTGCAAACCTGGCCAAAAAGGATTGTTTGGCTTTGGTGATATGATATGATATATAAGATATATATCATATCATATCTATCTTATCACCAAAGCTGGACCAGAGGCCATCCTCTTCACTTGAGATAGCCGCCGAAAGTTCCATCGTCATCGTGACGGATGACTTGCGTCGTATTAGATTAATGCGCATAATGTGACGCCATACTATGATTCCAATTATAGTATGGGTCGCATTATTCGCCTGCGTCCAGGCAGCGGGTGCTCCTGCTACCTGGACCAAATCGGAGGGGCAGTTCCGAGGTATAAGCACCAACGGAAGCTCCCGTTAGTTCTTCCACAAGGGTCACCAGAGGTTGACATGTGGTTCTTTGTCCACTTGGTACAAAGATCATAGTGTACAGAGTGACTCATGAATTTGTCACATTACATCAGAATTGATTTGACACGTCGCGTGTGTAATACAATAAAATACGCCCATCCTATGACCACAGTCATCTCAGGCAAACAACCTTCCATGTCATGATCGCCGCCCGACATTGATCAGGAGGCCTGAATATACGGTTAGGCTGGAGATTCGGGAGCTGCAGACTGTTTCCTTTTCTTTCGAACGGGACGCGGGGTGGCTTTCCACTTCGCCAGGCCGGTTGCAATGGATGGGTTCCATTGCGCAGGGGAGATGGCATTAACTTTAAAGTCACCTAATTTGTATAAAGATTCAATGAATCTTGCCTCGAGTCAGAGATTTACTGAGAAAGTCCTAGTCGAATGAAGCTCTAGCAGATAGAGAATAACACCTGAGGGCACAAGTGACGCGTAAGACTAGAGCTGCTAAAGCTGTGTCTACGACGAACAAACTAAGACTGACCTGAGGGCACAAGTGACGCGTAAGACTAGAGCTGCTAAAGCTGTGTCTACGACGAACAAACTAAGACTGACCTGCGAGCTCGAATGAAGATCAGAGACGCGCGAAGGTTCTGTTTAGTAAATGAACAGACAGATAAAATGAAATGATTCTTTTCGATGTAACACACCTGAGGGCACAAGTGACGCGTAAGACTAGAGCTGCTAAAGCTGTGTCTACGACGAACAAACTAAGACTGACCTAAATGGTTCAGACACAAATAAGTAAGAGAGAGAAAAACTAGCACGACTGAGTTGTAGAGAAGTGATAACTACCTGCGAGCTCGAATGAAGATCAGAGACGCGCGAAGGTTCTGTTTAGTAAATGAACAGACAGATAAAATGAAACTTAAGGACACAGAATAGTAGAGAAAATAATCAGGCAGAGAACATTAGTAAGAAATTAATATAATAGTCTTCTGAGTTGATAGAGAAATAACTTACTGATTCTTTTCGATAAGGAAAAGAATCAGAAAGTGGGACAAAGTTCAACACGTATATAAGAGTCAAATCAGAGAAACAAAAATCAACCCCTTGCTTCCAAACACACTATCCATCCCTTCAATAACTGCCACTAACCATTACTACACTTTTCCTTAAACAGGCACTTGACTTTCTTTACTGCACCCCATTAAACCAATACCACCTTTACCTAAACAGGTAATTTACTTTGACTACTACCAAGATACGTATAGTATCTTAACACACCCCCTCAAAGGAAATTAGCCCAAAAATCGCAATCCTAAACTTTTCCTTAAGGTTGCAAACTGATCTTTAGGAAGTTGCTTAGTGAGAAGATCCGCCACCATAAGATGAGTTGGACAGTGTTTTACCACCATGTCACCCTTTTTCACCACTTCTCGTATCCAATGATAATGAATTTCTATATGTTTAGTTCGTGCATGAAAAATTGACTTCGAAGTTAGGTGGATCGCACCCAAGTTGTCGCTGTGTAGTACAGTAGGGTTCGGGTCCTCGAAGCCAAACTTTGACAGCATCTTACGAAGCCACAAAAGTTCTTGGCCAGCTTCTGTGATTGCACGATACTCCGCCTCGGTGGATGACAATGCCACGGTAGGCTGAAGACGACTACGCCACGACACCGGACCTCCTGCAAGTACGAAAACATAACCTGTAGTAGAGCGACGCGTTGATTGATCACCGGCCCAGTCCGCATCACAGTGGGACACCGGACAAGCAAAACTTCGTTGACCAGAAAGCTGAGCATTGGAGTTTCCCGAATACACAATACCCACGTTTATTGTGTGAAGTAGATATCGTAAGACGTGGATAGCTGAATCCCAGTGAGCTTTTGCTGGCGTTTCGAGATGCTGGGATAGGACGCCTACCGCGTGAGCCAAGTCCGGTCGTGTACACTGAGCAAGATACATGAGTGACCCTACCACGCTGCGATAAGGCAGCTTTTCTTGAGCAAAAGTTTTCGCCTCTTCATCCGTCGCCTTGAGTAATTTCACATTAGGAGAGAGTGGAGTCACAGCCGGTTTTGAAGTCGTCATGTTGAATCTTTTTAGGATTGTCAACGCATAATCTTGTTGAGACATTGAGTATGTAAATTGATCAAGACGTTGAATTTGGATCCCAACCACGGTGTGTGCAATCCCAAGATCCTCCATCTCCCATTTTGAGGAGATTTCCTTCTTGAAGTTGAGGATATCATTCCCAGTAATCGCCATATCGTCGACGTGGACATAAACAATTGTAATTGACTCGCCTCTTGACCTGATGTATATACAGTGATCAATTTCACATTGATAGAATCCAATCTCGATCAAGAAGGTCTCTACTGAATCCTGCCATATTTTAGGAGATTGCTTGAAACCATACAGTGACTTTAACATCCTCCACACCTTTCCCACCGTTGACGCAGTCCGGTAACCTTCAGGAACCTCAACATACAACTCTTCTTCCAGTTCATTGTTCAGGAACGCAGTTACTGCGTCCATCTGGTGAACCTCCCAACCATTGACAGAAGCAATAACAACAATAAGACGAAGTGATCCTGGTTTTCCCGTCGGCGCAAAAGTTTCGCCATAGTCCTGACCTGGAATTTGAGTATTACCCATCGCCACAAAACGAGCTTTCAACTTGATCTTTCCATCCATCAGAGGCTTCTTTCGGAAGATCCACATGCCGCGAATGACATTACGGTCTTTGGGCCGATCAACCAAAAGCCAAACCTTTTTATCCTTCAGTGATTTGAATTCTTTGTCACACGCACTCTTCCACAGATCACTCTCAGACGACGCCATTGCCTTTTTGTACGATTTAGGATCAGGAGCATTTTGAAAATCAGTGAGATTGCATTCCACCGGAAGACATTCAAAATACGAGTGAGTGATAAAGTCGTCACAGAATTCCGCTATAGAGCACATTCCTTTCAAAGAATCGTGAAGCTTGTTTGCGTTTCTGGTTGAGCGACGAGAGATGATAGGTTCGGTTGAGGAAGGTCCGTTTGGCACTGAAGGTGAGGTATTCTCGGTCCGTGACATTTCACGTTTCGTGGTGACATCCAGCTCGGAGTCACTTTCGTCATCGAAAAACGTAACTTTAACTGGTTCATGCGGAGTTGATGAGGTTGGAACAGTGGAAGATGTGACAATAGATTTAAGAGGAAAAACGTCTTCGTTGAAAGTAGCATGATGGGTAAGGTAAATTTTACGTGATGAAAGATCAAGAATCCGGTAATTAAAATTGTCCGCTTCAAACCCCACCAATACCCCTTCAGAGCTTACTGGAGAGAACTTCGAGTCTCGAAGTTCTTTACGGATGAGACCGAATGCTTGACACCCAAAGACTCTGAGGTGTGAGACAGAAGGTTTTCGAAAGTTCCAGACTTCGAACGGAGTCTTTCCTAGCTCAATAGCTGCAGTAACACACCTGTTAGTGAGAAACACAGCTGCATCACACGCTAGGTACCAGAAATTTATAGGAACCCCAGATTCGAGCATCATTGAACGTGCCCTGGTAGCGACTATGCGCATACCACGTTCAGAAACTCCATTCTCTTCGGGTGAATGACCAGCGGTCAGATGTAACACAATGCCCAATTGATTGAGTTTGGAACCGAGTAGATTGTTTAGAAATTCGCCTCCACGATCAAGAGTGAATTGTTTGAGAGAACAGCTAGTCTGTCTTTCGACAACGGCAATGTAAGCCATGAATACGTTGTACACTTCTTCTTTGCCTCGATCTTTCAGAGGATAGATATGACGATATGCGGAGTAATCATCACAGAAAAGTATAAAATAATTTTCATTATTCAAGCCTTTGGTTCTAATAATTCCACTAATATCAACATGAACATTTTCTAGGAAATTCAGAGCACGCGGCCGAGTTTTGTTGTGAGGGAGCTTGGTATTTTTGGACAAAGAACAAATATCACAGTTTGACAGATCCCCCAAATAATTGAATTCATCCAGGCTACCCTTTTTCTCCATGATTTTCAGGTATTTTTCGCTTACATGCCCTAGTCGGCGATGTTGCAGAGTAGAAGAAACTTTAGTGACTGAAGTATTTGCTGACGAGGGAGAGATTCCACTCACAGGGTGGAGCATGATGAACATAAGATTGTTTTCCGAAATGAAGCCGTTGAAGATCGCCAGATCCTTTAACACCAGAGAAAAATCCTTGCTGTCGTGAAAGACTTCGCGAACTCCTAGTTTTTTGAGGAGACCGCCCGCCACAAGATTCCGAGTGAGATCAGGGACATAAAGTGAGTTCTTTAATTCAAATAAGCTATCATCACCAGCTAACAATTTTGCCACACCACGACTGTGTACAGATAAAGACATGTCTCCTCCAGCCAATTTTAGACGTTTACTCGAATCATCGATTTTGGAAAGTGAATTCGGGTCGAAATACTTCAAGTCTTTGAACATATGGTGGGTTGCTCCTGTGTCATGGAGAGCCCATTCTTGTGAATTGGACAGAATGGTGGATACAGAAGGTGACTCGTCCGGGTTATCGTCGAATTCGGAAGGAGCGGCAAATACTTCGCAAGTTTCGTCAGAAGAGCTTTCGACAGAATCTTCCAGAAATTCAACATGGAGGGACAGAACAGCTAGACTGGCTGACGCTGCGTTTACCCCAGCATCATACACTTTCTTGGCGCCTCGTAAAGTTGGTGTCGACAAAGGAGGTGTACCAGAAGCATGATGAGAACTAGACGAGTCAACCCGAGATTTTCCTCTAATTTTAGCGAGAAAAGCTGCACGTTTGTCGGCATTCTCAGGCTTTGACCAGCAGTTCTTTGCCATATGAGGGCCAAGACAATGATCCGGAGTACATTCACTTGACGTTTTCTTCAACACACTTGAGTTTGCACTGACGGCGTTGACCTCCTTGATGGCTGAGCACGTCCAACCGTGTCGTTCTTCGAATTTCCGGAGATAGCTGCTGACACCTTCACGAGTTAAAGGTACAACAGTATTGTGGATGTTGTCCTTGGTTTCGATAGACAACGACGGAATAGCCCCTAGGAGCATTCGAGCTGATTGGGCATCAGACATTTCGCCCTTCAGGCGATAGAACTCTCGGATAAGGTTCTCGAACTTATCCACGAACACGGTAAGAGAATCTGAGCTTGAAATTCGACACGCATATAGAGTACGTGTGACAGATTCCAGTTTGTCCTCGGAGATTCGGTTGTGGTACTCTTTGAGGAAATTCCAGCACAAAAACGGGTCATAGATGATTTCGGACGCATCATTTGGATCAGTCAAACGATTACGAGTTCGGACACTATTGACAGTATCGAGTCGATGGAGAATGTAAGTGGTGACATTAAAACGAGTAATTTCGTTTTCCTCGGGCGTCAATTCCTCGTCTGTGTAATCTTTTACTTTTACAAACTGATGAAGGTTGAGTGACCGAAGGACCTCCATGATGGACTGACTCCATTCCGTGTGGTTGTCGTCCGAGAGATCTGCCGAGACTTTGTATTTACTCATGGCGTTTGTCATACTCTGAGAAAATTTTTGGATAGGAGTCCCAAAAGTTCGATGTTCGACAGATTCAGACATAGTGAGTGCGTGCGAGGTAGAATTAAGACGAGTGGAAGGATCTTGACGTGGAGAAGAAGAAGAAATAGGATCTAGTAAAGAGTCCTTAACCGTTCCAAAAGAATCGGATGTATCAGATGAGCTTGAACCTTCTGTAACAGTAGCGTCTTCTGCTGAGGAGTCGACGTCTTCTGGGTTCATGTAAAGTTAACGGTCGAAAAGATCGGCCCTCTCGCTACCATATAAAGATTCAATGAATCTTGCCTCGAGTCAGAGATTTACTGAGAAAGTCCTAGTCGAATGAAGCTCTAGCAGATAGAGAATAACACCTGAGGGCACAAGTGACGCGTAAGACTAGAGCTGCTAAAGCTGTGTCTACGACGAACAAACTAAGACTGACCTGAGGGCACAAGTGACGCGTAAGACTAGAGCTGCTAAAGCTGTGTCTACGACGAACAAACTAAGACTGACCTGCGAGCTCGAATGAAGATCAGAGACGCGCGAAGGTTCTGTTTAGTAAATGAACAGACAGATAAAATGAAATGATTCTTTTCGATGTAACACACCTGAGGGCACAAGTGACGCGTAAGACTAGAGCTGCTAAAGCTGTGTCTACGACGAACAAACTAAGACTGACCTAAATGGTTCAGACACAAATAAGTAAGAGAGAGAAAAACTAGCACGACTGAGTTGTAGAGAAGTGATAACTACCTGCGAGCTCGAATGAAGATCAGAGACGCGCGAAGGTTCTGTTTAGTAAATGAACAGACAGATAAAATGAAACTTAAGGACACAGAATAGTAGAGAAAATAATCAGGCAGAGAACATTAGTAAGAAATTAATATAATAGTCTTCTGAGTTGATAGAGAAATAACTTACTGATTCTTTTCGATAAGGAAAAGAATCAGAAAGTGGGACAAAGTTCAACACGTATATAAGAGTCAAATCAGAGAAACAAAAATCAACCCCTTGCTTCCAAACACACTATCCATCCCTTCAATAACTGCCACTAACCATTACTACACTTTTCCTTAAACAGGCACTTGACTTTCTTTACTGCACCCCATTAAACCAATACCACCTTTACCTAAACAGGTAATTTACTTTGACTACTACCAAGATACGTATAGTATCTTAACAATTTGCGATGTAGTTCGGCAGAGTAATGTGAAGCCGCATTCAGAACGTAAGATTGATGCGCCTCGTGTTGCATTGTGGGCACCGAAATCCGGGTCGCTCTCCTTTTGATCTTCTTCGAAAGGGTCGAGGTAACAGTGCAATGACAATCATGACAGTTGTGCTGCATGTTCATCAGGCACTCGAGGTTCTTTGGAACAAACATGTCAAATCCTGGCCCCAAGAGCTGGGCTAGAAGGAGGTGATTGGCTCCAACTTACCTTGATGTCACATGGGAACGTGTTGCCTGAGACGATAAACTCTTGCATGCCGTAAAAAGGTACTATTCGGCCCTTGTTGCATTTGGCAAGCAGGAGAATGACCTTTGAGGATGATTTCCCCGCAGGTTTCCACAACGAAACGACCTGGCCTATGAGGCCTTCGCCTTTCACCTAGAAAGGAAACACAAAAATTCAACGATAATCAGGGAAAATCAACACTGCAAGGATGACTTACGGCGACGAAGTCCTCGGGCTCAATCTTTTGGCAAGAGGGCAAAGTGACACTCTGCAGTTCTTCCAAATTCGCATCCAATCCCAAAGGTTCCAGACATGCCGGCACCGCGGCCTGGTCTTTCTTCGGCCCTGATAGGCCAAACATGTACAATCAGATTGTATGTTGACAAGATAGAGGCAAGCACTGGAACACTTGCCACTGTCTGTGTGTAAACCCACGTTGCCCACGGTGATGTCGAGGCCCGAGCCCTGAGACAACTCGGGGATCCTGGTCATCAGTGATTGAATTTCACGTCCAGGCGCCACGCGCGCGTGCAGGTCCTTATCAAAGAAAGAAGCCCCCAAAAGGAAAATCCGCAACATCAGAGCAGTGAGGAAGGTGTTTGCAATATCGTTACCTGGGCTTTGTTTGTGGGAATGGACGGAGGCGTCGCGAGTCTTCCCGTTGAATGATTCGAACTTCTCCGTGACTACAAGACAGGGTGGTCCAAATCGGCTGATTGAGGCTTTGAGATGTCCCAACATATGAAATTTTGGCTTGTTGACCCATTGGGCCGTCATCGACACAAGCTGATTCATGAATATATCTATGTGGGTATTGAGTTCCTTCAGGTAGACGTCGACGTTGTTGATTTTGGTTTGAAATACATAGGAACCTAACATGCACAGCGCTGTCCATAGATGTCGGACTTCTTCGGTGACTAGATCGTATATAACAAACGGCACCCTCTGCAACACGGTGCGGAATTCTTTGCCTACCAGGCTTTGGAAGAACTGGATCAAAGTATTTGGCAGGATAGGAGGCACGTTCAAACCTTTACAATTGAAAGAGTGCCACCGCGCATATAGGTGGTTGTACTTCCTGGCGCCGGCTTTTCCTGGCTTAATGACCTTCATCGTGTCACGGAATGGGTACTTCGTCACCCCCAACAGTACGACATGGAGGATCTCGACGTGGGTATCAAGGTGTCCGTCAAAACCTGCTGGAACAGACCGAGTTTGCTCAGCACAGGAAAAGCTCTGATATTAACAAAGCATACGCACCATCGAGCCTCAACATCGGATTGAAGAGCCTGTCACCCCACTCAAGGTTGAGGTTCTCGCAAAGAATGTCAACCTACTGATCTGCCAGGTTATCTTGAGCAGACTGTACCAGATGGATGAAGTATTCATTCATAGTATCTTGAAGCCCATACGATCGTCCCATGTGTTCTACGAGCTTTTTGCTGTTGCACCTTTGAGCTGTGCGCCAGATCTCCCGAGTTTGTTCACGAGTCACAGTCCAATCTCGTATACGCAGTGCTGCCTTTATCAGGAAAGACCTTTTAGCAGAATCCACAAATAAAAGATCCCAGACAATTCACCTTTTGCCCATGTGCGTCTAGACCCAAGAAGTGACAAACATACTCTTCGGATTGTTTTTCCACCTGGCGATCCACTTGAAGTTCACACATTCGACACGGTGTCAACGTGTTTGCTGGATTCTTCGTGTCGCATATTTCAGCATGCAGCATCGGCGAATCGCCTAGGTGCCCAAGAATAACCACCATTGCACACACGTCCTGGCCGAGTGTGTGATCATACGCAGTGAAACTGTTCCTACCTAAATCACTTTGTTCCACAAATGTTAGCATCCAATAGTTGCCATTGGTAAATGCACAACAACTTACTTGATATCATCAACTACCTGGTCAAACAATTCCAGCGCGGAAGCACAGTTGGTCGTAGCCAAGAAATGAATGTTGTACTCTTGGTTCGACCAAAAGGGAGGCAAACCCGAGAGGGTGAAGTAAATGCTCATATGCTTGTTTTATTTTTTGGAAACGTTACCTGAAGTATTGTCTGAGTATATTGTTAGTGGTACGTGTCGGACAATTTTCCCTTGCGCTTTGGTCCTCCATGGATTGACCATTGAAACCAATTGAACACCTTGTGTGGTATGCTCTACACAAACTTATGACGTCAGTCGTTTGATAATCACTCAATGACCAACGGCTTTGACTCACGATACATATGATTTCCGCATGAGTCACTGAGACGAGTACGGTTATCCAGCTTCACCGCGTCAAAGGTCCTCCAAAACATGTTGACATTGAGTGATAACAGCTCGGGTGAATCGAAGGAGGGCTCATCTTCGAAGGATATATTATAAGCCGAAACGAGTAAAGGATCCTGGGCCACCACGGCCCAAAGGCATTTGGCCATGATTTCATCATCTTGCTGGTAGAAAAAGATGGGTACAATCAGTTGACCGGATGTAACCTGCACAGGCTCGTATATATAAGTGCTTGGACTTCGAGGTGATCATTTGCACTCGAAGGTGTGGTGGATACAACTCTGGCCACTTTTGGCACTGCGAGAGACGATTGACAGGGCACTGGACAGGTAGCTCTGGAATGAAAACCAGATGGGGGCTGACGATTGGATTCGCCAGCTCCTAGAACCATTGAGGCCAAAGTTAGTAACGGAGTGGCAAACCGAAACTGATTGCATGACTTGCAATCACTTACGCTTGCCACGATGGTCTGCACCCTCAAGCCAAATAACGGGCTGCCCGTTGGACTGTCCCTCGCCGCAATTTCAAGTCCCATTTTGCGCTTTAGTCGGTTGCTTAAAGCTCGTAAAGATCCCCACGCAGGGAGGTCCACGTTACAGATTTGCAGGATCAATTGAATCCGCTTGTATTGTAGACGGGAGAGGAGGCTTCGTGTTGAACCAATGATTAGCATTGCGACGATCTGCTGTGTCATTTGGAGAGACGGCAAATGTTAATTAGCGGTTTTTCAAATCACATTGTTGTCGTGAACTAACCTCTTTGTTGGTGAATGGGTACCAGCCATTGGAAACATCTGCTTCCACGGGCATCACGTTGTCGTCTATGTCCAAAGCATTGGCATGCTCCTCTTCGATTTCCTGGTCAAGCAGGTTGTCCATGGCTTCTAGGGCTTGACGGAGCATTTGAAAGTCCAAAAGGTTGTCGGATTGGCCAGAGTCGGAATCCGAATCCGACAGGGCATTGCCATTGCGATCTCGAAGAAAGGAGAGAGGTGTGAGAGGTCATTCCGGAGACTCAGGGTAAGGATAGACAGGCTGATGGGGATCCTGTTCCTCTGGGTCATCGAATTGGGGGTGTTCCATCGATGAAACTGGTGGGTTTTGGATGGTGGCCAGCATGGCTTCATCATCGACCTGTCGCTGAAGAAGGCGCTGAACTGAGTTGCAATGTGCGGCTGTCTTGATGTGGCCTCGGTAGTTGGCCAGCATTCGGCTGTGGCATGCAGAGCACCGTATTTGGGGGTCCGCTGGATCCTCGGAACTGGCATAAATGCCTGCGAACATAATTTGTTAGAGGCTGAATGTCGCATGTGAGCTTATAAAATTGCTTACATGGGTCTGTGTAAGGGTGTTCAGGGTTGATGCCGGCCATTTAAATGCCGGGTGAATGCTCAAACGAAGTCGAGGAGTCGAAGCTGGTGCGGGTGTGGTGAATGCTGAGCTCCACCTTATACAAGGCAAGACGGCCTTTGGGTGGTGATTTGTCGCCTACAGTTGGAATGAGGCGGTCCGGAGACGCTTCATGTAAAGGCTGTCTGTTATCCGTCACTGACGGTGTGCAGGCAGGGTTTGCTGGCCTTGGGGTGACCTGTAACATCGAGGTCTTAGGGCGGCCTGTCTTCGAGAGGGGTCGCCTATCGCCCGCCCTGGAATGGCCAGCTTTCGGACGTGCGGCGTGTCTCAGACCCAGGCGGTCGGCGGACATTGTGCAGATTCGAATCCTACCCGTGGTGTATAAGAGTTCGTTCCTTCCATCCATGAATTGATTGTTCGAGCGTTTTCCCTTTTTTTCATAGTGCGTTAGTTCAAGGCCCTGGCCCCGGTCAATCCCCGGCGTAGGGGACGGGGACGGGGATCACATTGTTCTCAGGGAACGATACCGGTATTTTTGGGGAATAGGGTGATTTCAAAAACAAACAAACAAACAAGAACACAGCAAAAGACCCTCCCCAATAGGTTTCGCCTCAAACCGTCAAGCTTTTTCCAATCAAGATGAAGTCGATGGGTTCATCAAGCTTACAAATTCTTTTGAATCTGTTCCGGATCGAACTAACTCATCAAAGGTTTTCATCAATTCTCTTTCATGAACCACCTTTGAAAGATTTGAGCTAATCCTTTCATCATTGATTTTCTTCCAGATTCCATCCAGATTCCTTTGAGGTCATGAATTCAATTCTCACAAAAATCCAACATTGAGTTAGACCCCTCTTCAACCATGCTGTCTGAAATTTTGTTCAACACATTCTTCAACTGTGATTTTTCCAAAAACTGCTTGATTTGTCACAACATGTAACAAAACTGGATGTTGAAAGAGATTTAAACAATATATTTCAACAGTTCTAACACTGTTCTCAAAGCGAAATTGTACTTCACATTTTCAAATTGATCCCATGCTTTCGCATCAAGTGTTTCAGTTCTTGATTTAAACACCATCTTTCTGACTGAAACCAAAGCTTACACCTAAACTTACATGTCATTGCATCTATACAATTTGGTGTTTGTAAATGTAAAACAATTGACCTAGAAGAGTTTCTTGTATTGTTTGAGCCTAATATTTTAAGATCATACCATTTTTCATTTTGATGGTGTTGGTTTGATTTTGATTTATAGATTGTTTTAATTGGAGTAGAAGTTTTATCATCTATCAGAGAATTGAGTGAATCTTGAATTAATCATTGATTCATTGAAATTGAAGTGAATTTCAGTGGAGATGAGATTGGTAAATATGAAAATAGAATTCATGGTGATGACTGTAAATAGTAAATCAATGGTGATCAGCATTAAGTTATTTGAATTTGGTTGAGAAAGGAAAAGACTTGCTTGAATGGTTTGACTATACATTGTTACTAGTCATATTGGGCGGCGGGCGCCGCATCCATAAAGAGAGCACATCTCAGTTGCAAGGATTATTGGAAGCTATGCTGGCACCAGGCCCCACATCACCCAAGCTGAAATCTTTGTTACAGACAATTGGTTAGATTCCAACACGTCAGAATCTATTGTATGATGTAAAGGGCATTAATTTACGGGTGTGAGCAACACAACCCCAAGCCAAGTATATTAAATCTTGAGAGGACTAAAACTCCACCAGGGAAATCGAAGGTAAGTTGGTAGACTGTTGTTGCTAGGAGAAAGCAACAGGAAAGGAAAGGGATTGAGTGGGGTGTGAAGACCACACCTAAATGTGGTGGAATTCAGGGTTGGGAAAAATCATGATTTTTTGAACAGAGGCAATGTCACATACCCTTGGAGCAGGGAGACAATGTCCTTGCCCTAAATTTAATCCCTAACCACCCAACAGTTTCCATTCCAGAGTACATCAAGTACCCTATTGTCTCAGCTTATAGAAAACCTTTGCTTGGTATAGAAGTGAAGTTGGTATTGCAAAAAATGGTGTTCTGAGATTTTCATCAATTTTTGATCTTGATACAGATAATCAATTGATTGTATTACTCAGATTTTTTTTTTAGAGAACAATTCAGAATTAAGTCAAGAATTGAAGCCAAGGATATTGACATTGTAAGCCGTGAATAGCAAGCAATTTATTTTGTAAGAATGCACTGACCATGATTTTTTTTATTATCTGCATTGGGTGTTTGGCTTAACTCATATTTTGGTAATGTAATTCCAGGTGTCATTTTTAACCAGAGGTTAAGATGAAGATTCTCAATCAAATATAATCTGAGGTGAGGTAAAAGCAGCAGTAGTGCCAAGGAGGTTGTTTTTCTCATTTGAATATCAGATAAATATTGAACCACAGGATGAATTGAATCTTCAATGATAGTTGGACTTTGGTAATACTGATGAAAGAAGGAGATACTTCTTGTTTAGATTTGACTTTTTGGCTTCTTTCACTGCTGCTCTTTATCACATGCAATACAAAATGGTTACAATTCATTCTGTCTTTTTAGAATTCAAAGAAATTGGGTGAAACTCATCAATGGTTATCTGAAGGAAATGTATTTTGTAGATTGATTGAAACTTAATGGTTACGTTTGAATGGAATTTCTTGGTTTGCTGCTGATTGACAATAAGCTAAAAAATCAAGTCTGATTTATTAAGTTTGAATGTGATTTCTTGGTTTGCTGCTGATGTATAATGAGCTAAAAAAAGAGATTTTTACAAGTGGATCAGATGTGGTGATTTATTCATTAGATATGTAACTGAAATGTATGATCATAAGCCTTTTGTGAAAGCATAAGTACCTTTGTTAGAGTTATAAACCTTGAGGAAATAGCATTAATAAGAAATTGATCTGGAAAGATTCAGGAAACACTTTGACTACGTAAAAGAAATTGACAATCAATTCTGTTGGTTTACTGCATGACATTATGACTTATCAGTTAGAAAGATAGTTTTAGAGCAACATGTCAATGGTAGCTCAGGAGATCCATCTATCAAAAACCAAACCTTTTAGAGATAGCAAAGAATAAGACTGAGTCAATGATGGTAGACGGTACCCAAAGGCACGACGGTACCGTCTGTTTCCACGATGAGTGGCGGGGTCGGCCTATGGGAAGTGGGAGAAAACAGCCTTCTACCGAGGGTAGGTTTCTCCCGACGCGAGCTCAAAGATTTGGAGTAAAAGGAAAATCCCTTAACTCCTGCTTTCTCCCCCACGCGTCAACTTCCCCATAGTCGACTATCCCACACTCGGATCCCGGGAATTTCACTCTCTCATCTCCTACTTGAAGCCATCTGGCTTGAAGCTCTCTTTTCGAAATCCTTCTTAGTTTTCATTATTGAAATCAACATGTCAACGGATAACATCAACAACCCTGTAATAACGGACACTTCCACAGGAAATACGTCTAACACGGAAAGGTTTACTCATATGTTGAGAAGGTCAAGTGCGAGATTAAGAGCGACGTCCGTCCCAGCATTAGATTCTGAACAGACAACGAATCCCCCATTGGGACCCGACCGGTCACCTGCCGCTGAGGAAGCTACGCCTACTGCGACGAGCAGCCAACGAGGTGGGAACCGGGGACGAGGTCGTCGAACTGCTAGAGGATCGGCTAGACCTGCTGTCGAGAACAGGAACCAGGAAGGCGGAACCCCGTCGGTGACACTCACAGTGCCGGGCGCCAACGCAAATGGAAGTGCAACTCCTGGAGCGCCTTCGGCATCTAATCTTCAACCAGGAAGCGGTTTGTCAGCAATCAGTCAAGTAGGTTTAGGTACAACCCAGGGGTCAAATCGTACCTCTGTCATCCACCCTGCAGCTTCAAACTCGACAGGATTAATCGCTGAAGAGAACGTTGGAGGCAATGCAACCGGTAAGCCTTCTTCGAATTGACCACCTAGGGTGATGCCGCGACACGCGAAGTGATTACCACTTACAAGTGATGCCACCGCGAGGTGATGCCTCTCAGAGATGTGTGAACGAGTAATAGTACTAAATTGCACAATGTATTTCCATTTGCTGTCCCAGTCAATAAGTCACCTCCGCGCAGGAACACGACGTCTGCCGTGGTTAGCCCACCGAAGGGCATGCACTCTTGGTTGATCGCCAATGGATTGTCCTTAACCAATGCTTCAGGCTCAGTGACGCCTAATGGATTTACGACAGGACTTGGATGCCTACCTAAGACTCTTGCCAACCCGACTTCCAAACAAGCTCCTTGTTTCGACTTAACTAAAGATACCGACAATGATGCGACTCCGTCTTCAAAAGAAACTGACACGTCAAAGTCAACGGCTAAATCGAAACCCGAAGTCAGTACCAAGGGCATAGAAAACACCGGTCTAGTCAGCTTATCAAAACATTGGCACGACAAACTCTCGCCACTAGTGGGATACGTACCACTGTCTATCTTCAATATCAATTGGTTGAAATTGGACCTGCTTAGGACAACCTCTCGCCCCCGAACTTCAAAAGATAAAGATGACAAGTATGTCGGCATGGAGGTTCCAGAAGAGTGGAAGATGTCCTTCGGAGAGTGGGTGACAGCTTTCGATCTCTTCGTGGCCTATCTGGTGCATTACAAACATGTCGGCCTAGCCAAGCGTTTCAAGGTCCATAAAGAGAACGTGTTCGCAATTATGAGAGAAAGGAGGAGTTGGCCAATGGCTTTTCGGTACGATATGGCAATACGAACAACGGTGCTTACTATTCGGAACTCTGACGGCAAATTAGCGGACCCCGGAGACCGGAACGAAACGATCGAGAGGGATGCCCGTCTAGAGACAGAACGTTTGGGTGACTTCGACCCTCGGTTCGCAGACTGTAATCCTTATGCAGAAGGGCAAGTCAAGTCTCACATTAACCCGATCAGCGGCGAACGGATGCGTCACAATGAGAACACCTTCGGATCTACCAGGAACGACCATTCTATGAGTTCTACTTACGGGAAACCGAATGCGAGATCTTGGGCCTTTGCAAATCAGGTGGTTTATGACGGCCCAGGAGGTGTGAGCTTCAACGACGCTGAGGATAGGGGACATGGGAGCCGTAGGAACCGTGGACGTGGCAGGGGTGGTCGCTGGAATGGCGGAGGTGGTTTCGAGGCTCCACCTAGGGGTAGGCGAGGAAACAATGATTATGACGAGAGAAGAGCTGAAGGCAGCGGTTCTTGGAAACGTGAAGATAGGCGCGATGACCGCCGAGGCGAGGAGCGCGGGCCCGTGGGTCCTAAGTTTGGCGGCCAAGGGAAGGCAAAGTAAGCCCTCCAACGTGATTGAGCCATTACCTTTTGTCTAGAGTTTGTCATGGAAAATTAAGTCGTATACACTACGCAATGGTGTGTGTTGTCCACCCAAACAAGCTCGTCTCATGTTTCTTGGTTTTGTACCGGCTCCTTGTCTGTCGAAGGTTGTCTGAGGCATACAATGTTCCTGTCGCATGCAACTTGACTGCTCCTGTCCGGCTCATGTTTGATCTTCGCCATGTTTTCTACCTCGACTCATTGTATACACCGTACTCCCTGTCGTGTTTGATGAAAGCCGATAAGTTTGTTGGATAAGTTTCTGACGATGGCGTGCCTACCTTCCCCTAAACTGTGTAGCCCAACAATACGTGAGAATGCCCCATCGCCTAGCTCAAGGTTTCGTGATCGGAGAATGCCCGGAGCTGGCCCGAGAATTGTGCTCGACGAGTCAGTTGAGAGGTCCGGACCTGTGGAGTTGCTACCTTATTCGAATTCAGGAGGAAGTTATGACCCTTGTTGGCCTAAGGAAGTGGCGGTGTGTGACCTTAATTTGGAGAAATGGAGAACGTTAGTTGAGCTATACGGGATTGAAGGTGATGCCGAAGAAGTCCTAGAAGGTTGTCGGAAAGGGTTCCATCAGGGAATTCCTGATCATACGTTGGGTGATCGCCGTTGGTTCACACCGCCCAATCACGAGTCAGCTAAGCAAGCGGCAGAAAAGATAGAGAACACACTAGCGAAAGAACAAAGAGCAAACAGGATATTTGGGCCATTCACCCACATGGAAGTTTTTAAAAAATTGGGTTTCTTCAGGTCCAGCCCGATGGGTAGTGTCATCAACGGGGATGGATCTTTCAGGATCATCAATGACCTATCCTTTCCTCAGAATGTAGAAGAAACTCTGTCAGTAAACAGCTTCGTCGACAAGAAGGAATTCGTGACAAGCTGGGCTGATTTCAAGGTAGTGGCAATCTTCTTTAGGACTCACCTGGGGAAGTATAAAGTGGCAATATTCGATTGGGAGAAGGCCTATCGGCAGATTGCTATTCACCCATCTCAATGGCGGTTTCTTCTCATTATGGATCTTCGGAGAAGGATGTGGCTTGATACACGTGTTCAGTTTGGCGGTGTAGCAGGATGCGGTGTGTTTGGTAGACCTGCGGATTTGTGGAGGAAAATTGTGATCAAACATTTTAACTTAGTCACCGCTTTCAGGTGGGTGGATGATAATCTGCTCATAAAAGAAGAAGGAAACGTAACCACCATCCAAGATATTGTTCTTCTAAGCGCGGAGATGGGTGTGTCGTCGAACACGGAGAAAGTACACGAGTTCGCAGATGAGCAACGGTATATAGGCTTCATCTGGAACGTGGCAGAGAGGACCGTTCGATTACCCGAAGAGAAATTCATCGAAAGAAAACAGCAAGTCAATGATTTCTTGGCTCCGGAAGTGTCGTTCAATCTTAAGCAAGCGGAGAAACTGATAGGAAGGTTGGTTCATACAACTCACATAGTTCCAAATATGAGATGCTATATGCCCAGTTTACATCGCTGGGAAGCAGAATGGAAGGTATCGTCCGCGCTGAGGAAGGTTCCAAGAGATGTGAGGGAGGACCTGTTAGAGTGGCAGGCCGCGTTAGAAAACTTCCAACCTCGACGAATAATTCCTGATTCGGTACCTATAGATGTTGAGTGGGTAGGTGACGCATCGATGTCAGGAATAGGCGTATTGATTGGCTCTAAGTGGGCAGAATTTCGTCTAGTGAAAGGTTGGAGCCTGATTACGACACATAGAGGAAAGCGGAATATAGCCTGGGCCGAGACGGTTGCGATAAGGTTAGGTTTGTTAGTATTAAGTAAGTTGAGAGACGTGCGCGGGAAGTGCTTCATTGTGCTCACCAACAATACGACGTCACAAGCTGCGGTCGATAAACATAAGTCAGGTGATCAGGCTGTAAACGAGGAATGGAAGCAAGTGCAAAAGCTATTAGCTGAGCTGCAATGTGATGTAGTAGCGAAAAGGGTAGCGACCGGTGACAACATGGCAGACTTACTATCTAGAGGTTTGGATAACCGTAGTATGGAAGATCGTGTAGAGATAGTTGTACCAAATGACCTGAGATTAGTAGTAAAACAGTGCTAGTGAAATGGATTCTTCTTGATTCTTCTGATTGACCACCTTGTTTAGCACCAAGTTTGTTCCCGAACCGGGGTTTGGTTGTCCTCTCGCTCTCAGGCATGAGTCGAGAGCTGGTTACCAAAGACCACTACTAAATAGAGAGACTCGATCGCTATAAGACTTGATCGTTATACCCATACAGAAAATCGTAGCATCAGTGATGGAGTTCCTCAAAGGCAGAGACGGCATAAACTCAGTAGCGAGTGACCCGATCAAGACTTACATGATTAACGGGGGCTGGTCCGACGCAACAATCAAGCATTACAACGCCGGTGTCTCGAAGTTGATCACCTTTGCTAAAGAAAAGAACATGCCTAGATCACTGTTGTTACCGATCGATTGAGAAGTGCTGTTTGCATTCGTGGTTTGGGCGGGTCCAAAACACTCGTCAGAACCGATAGACTCGAAATCCCCTCCAATAAAATCGAATACAATTAGAACTTACTTATCAGGCATCAAAGCGTGGCATCTATTCCACGACTTCGAATACCCTCACACAGCGACCAATTGGGTAGAAGCAATTCTGAAAGCAGCCCATAAACTAGAACTCTGAGAAGAACCTAAGGAGAAGAAAAACCCGGTGATGATAAAACATTTGTTCGGTCTCCTGGAGTGTCTGTCAGACGGATCGTTAGAAAACCAAACGGCGTACACGGTAGCCTTAGTTGCCTTTTGGGGCATGGCCCGTTTGGGGGAATTGCTAAAACCGGCGAACAGTAAGAATCAGGTTAGGGTGAAGGACTTGGTTTGGGGAGGGCAGATGGATTTCTTACGTATTAAGATAAGAGAAGTGAAGACGGCAGCCGTGGGGGAAATTCAAGAGATCCACTGTCAAAATCAAAGCTCCCTCCTCGACCCAGTATGCGCGGTTCAAAGGTTGATCAAGGATACGAATGCGACAGAAGATGACCCCCTGTTTTCATACCAACGTGGTGTTAAACGGATAACTTTGACAAAGGCACGGTGCCAGAAAATCTTTGCGGACGTATGGACGAGTAGAATGAAAACGAAGTTGACTGGGCATTCGTTTCGAGTTGGGCGTGCGTCGTTGAGATGGAATTTGGATTGTCCTCTAGAACAGATAGTGGCTCTCGGTCAATGGAAGTCAAAGGCCTATAAACTGTACATTAGGGAGTACAGCGACACAGATCTGTTGAATACTGTACGACTGCTCGAAGAACTTAGATTGTAGTAATTTAATTAACGTGGTGTTGTGGATTGACATGCGCGGGAGGTCGCGGCAATAAGTTACACTTACATAATGCTCCAGACAGCAGCATTCGGTTAGGGGGTGTTCAGCGACTGCGAGGGTGACCTTGACCCAGATCACTGGGGATGGGAGTTTGCAGGCTCAGGCCCATGACCTGAGTCAAGGGGAAGCGCTCTCCCATCCCGAGTTCTCAGTGGTCCTACCTCCCTCTGCCCAGTTGGGCGGGGGCCCCCCCCCAAGAAACCCAAAGTGTTCATAGAACAGAGACTTTAGGTTTGCCTAGGACAAACTAGAGTACTTGTATTTATGCATTACAAACTATGAAAGGCTACGTGAAATTAACACTACGTGGAATGAGGTGCTATTAGGAAGCTCACCCTTCCTGAGACACCGCCCAATAGAGAGTGGAAGGATGGTTACATCCAACAGCACGGTGATTGTGAGTCATTTCTCAAAAGAACACCTGGGATTGATAGATACTGAGATATTTTTTCTTCTTATTGCAGCTTATGCCAAAGGAGGAGAAAAAGACAAATCTAGCCCCTACACAGGCTTGAAATATGCTAAAGGAAAAGGTCACAATACTTGTGACAATGATGAAAAAGAAGAGGTTGAAGACCTTCATAAAAATCAACAAAGAGCAACTTATTTCAAAGAAGGTAGAGGAGCAAAAGACATTTTTAAAGGAGGTTCCAGAGACTGCATGCTTCAACTTCTACTTGGGTAGATGAAGGAAAGGGTGTGGCACATAAAGATAAGGAGTGAGTCAAGAGTACAATCCTTTGTTGATTAGATGATATTACTCCACATTTGTGGTACACAAATATTGTTCTGGAGATTTCCAGAACACTGTTTCCAGAATGCCAGACGTATTTTTTTGGTGTGTTCTGGTGTTCTGGGGTTCAGAAACTTTGAATGCCCCGGTTCATTTGCGGGGCCTGCAGCAGAAGGTTTATTTTTTTTCAGAACACCAGAAACCTGCCCAAAGGGTTCTGGTGTTCTGGAAAAAATGTTCTGGAATTTGCCAGAACAATATTTGTGTACCCTAATTCTAATGGTGGAGCAAAAACCAGAGTTGTATTGAATCTTTTGCTACCATCCTTTCTATTTTTGTTGAATCTTTTTGTATTGAATGAGTAATAGCAGTTGCTATGGAGATTGGTAAAAAAGATCAAGGTTATTTATGATTGTTTTTTTGTGAAATCTTACCCCATGCTTTTGGTTTTAAAGTTTTTTCTGTCAAGTTTTCAATATAATTTAGATCTAAAACTTGTGAAGGATCAGGTACTTCAATTAATTGATTCTTTACCTTTTCATCAATTTTGTTCATGTTTTGATTTTCTTTGAATTCTCCAATGGTTTGGTTTGGATTTAATTATCAAAAGCTTGAGTTGCATTTTTACCTGCATATCCATTCTTGTGAGTTTCTTACTTGAAGGTAAGATCTAGTTATGTGTCTTATAGTAACTATTCTCTTGTTACTATAAGATCACATCTCGTTATAGTTTGTTTTGTTACAAACTATACTCTTATCAACCTTGGCGCATTCATATGGCTGAGGTTGATGTTTATTTCGGGGGAGCCCGGGCAGGGGGTCGGCTGACTTTTGCGTCACGGTTTAATTACC